TGGAAGTTTAGGAAGATCTTTCTTTGCCATTTTCCCTGCATGGGAGAAGGGGTCTGTAACACAGCCAGACCCAGAATCTTTGCGTTCCACCAGGTACCTGTGGAAGGAGCCTCATTTTTTCGAGGCATTTTGTTACCAAGCCCTAACAATACAGCTGATTGTTCACATTTCTGCTGAGCAGACTGAAGTACTGACACGGGACCTGTGAACTCTGTAACACCTTTTCAAGAGTTGAATAGTAAATTATTAGAAAACTTTCAGGCCTACATGACTTGGTAAATGTGTTCTTCTTAAAGAAGAGAGTAATGTTGAAGGTCAAGGCATGAACGCTGTCTGAGATTTAATGAAATGAGTGATAACTTCTGATAATCGTTAGCATTTGTAGCTATATGTAAATCAATAGTAAAATTAATCTGTTCTGATTGATTGATTCCTAGAAAGCAAGCTCTCTGCCACATGTAATATATGAAATCAAAGCAAAGGAGCGACGTTTGACAGCTTGAGAACTAGAGAAAAGAGTTACATTCTGTATTTCCTTGTATGTGCCCTTAGCATTTCTGGCTCTGCAGTGATGAGCAGGAGAATTCTTTCTTCAGGAATACGACTGAAAACACCCATTCCGCGGAGTTCATAGAACACTGGCTGGGGCTGGATGCTTTGCAGAGAGGAGATCATGACATTTCCTCCTTAGCCTCTCTCATGATTCCTAGATCTGTCTGGCAGCTTGATCGTGTCTGGCAATTTCAATTTTAAAAGGGCATTTTTGGTCACCATCCTCACCTGCTGCCCTTCCGTTCTGATGGAAGAGGCTGCCAGCGTGTTCTGGATAGCACGGCCTGGCAGGCAGAGCACGGTGTCCTTGGCCTGGAGCTGGGTGCTGCGTCTTGTGCGTGAGTCAGGTCTCCACTTTGGCTTTAGGTGTGGTGGCTGTGAAGGCAATTGCCGGTTCTGGAGTAGCAGAATTGAGGTGTCTGTATTACTGTGATCTGTAACGCTGCAGTCACATTTCACAGGGATTGACCCCTCGGTGCCCAGGATGAAAAGCGCTCAGTGGCTGTGTCGTGCTCACTGTCTCTTTCTTTGGTTTTTTTAAATCCTCATTCATGTTATGGCCCTGTTTGTTTATCGCATGCTATCTGAGCAATACTTCATTTCCTTCTGAGTGTTTGTGTGGTGCTCATCACTGGTAGCTGAACTGCAAGTCTCTGCAGCCCTTTTCAGCATTGCGTTACGAGGTTAAGAGAATTCTCTTTTTATCAATAAACAAAACACCTCTCTGACTGAGATGATGCCCAAGGCAGATCCTGTTAGAGAGTGGACTCTTCTGGTTCCTGACTCGTGCTCATTTCTCATTTCTCATTTCTCATTTATACAGCAGGATTTGGTGCACTGAGTGTTAAGGTTACGCAGAGATGCAGTGAGGTTTACATCATGACACTCATTTTGCTAGTTAAAACTCTGCGTAGTATAAAATCTTAGAGAAACCCAAAAGAGCAAAATTTAAAAATAAAAATATATTATAATAAAATAAGCAATTCTTCCAAAGTAAGATGGCATTACCATTTTTTCACTTCCATGCTTGCAGCCTCCTTGGCCTGACAGAACAAAATGGTGCTCATAGGAGATGATTTGGAGAAAGCCTTCAGTAAATGTTCTTTGAATATGCCCTTTTATAAATTAAACTAGCCCATTTCCATACCCATGTGCATGTATGAAAATGTCACTGATCTTTTAATCAGAACTGGCATTTGGTGCAGAGTTTGTGCTCTGAGCTTTCCTAGGAGCCTGGGCAGCCGGCATGGGGGCTGTGCACCCAGCAGGGCTGCACAGAGGAAGCAGGAGGTGGCCCTTGAGGACAGGCAGAAGGGGAGGCCAGTGACCTCCCTGGAGCTGTGAGGGTTTCCCCTGTACAGCAGTATCTGCAGTTGGCACTGGAGAGGTGCCTTTAATGGGAGAAGGAGAGGAAGGGGCAGTTGTCAGTGCACAAGAACAGCAGTTGATGGGGCAGGGGCCTGGCCGCCTGTGGGGGGCTGGGGGGGGGGCTGGGG